CGAGAGTGTGAAAGTCCGAGCTGAAACGCCAATGCGGCCGATCGTTGACAATCATTCTTATGCATTAAATACACCAATGAATCCATGGGCAGAATCACTTGGTTTCAGTGAATTTACATGATATAATTTGTAGTAAAAAAGTAAATACCTATTCATTGTAGGTTTGTTTTTATGTTATGCTTATGATCTCCCTTAAAATTCCGGCCCTAATTAATATTCATGATTAAATGAATAAATTAGGCCACCTCCATATAAAGACCACCTGTCTATAAAGGACAGTTTGGCTCAGTCCACTGACTGTCCTTTATAGACAGGTTTGACTGTATTATAAATATTTATATATATACCAGAATTTACAGTGTAAACATAAGTGGGGTCAGTCGAGTCAAGATTTTGTGCACATGGGAGTAAAAAGCCATACATTAATTGTACATATTTTAGTTAAACTAAGCAACTTACCATATTTACAGATGTTGGCATATTAAGACTAGATCCCAAATTTCCAGCAGCATTCAAACTACTTGTCGTCAATGTTGTTCCCGCTGGGGAAAATGTGGTAGACAAAGGAGTCATAGTGGAATGACTTGATTCAGTAGAGAAATTATGAAAAGATGTACTCCCGCTTGAACTCATACTTGAAACCTATAAAGCAAACAAAACAACATTTGGGATGCATGACAGTAAAAAAAAAACATGATGAATATGATTTCATTGACAATGCAAAATTTTTTTTGCTCATCCAGCCACTGGCAAAAACATGACCTCTTGACCTATCATTATTTATTTGTTTTCTTTCTCTGTCCCACAAACATACTGATAAAACCAAGCACACAATTTGCACGCATATTGAGTACAGCTGTCTATCTAATACATGTAATGAAATTGCAAGATTTTGTTAGCAAGTTGACAATAGAAGGAAATACATTTCAAGATACTGAGTATAGCTACTTTAAGCAGTTACAGATTTTCATTAGATAGCACAATTATGCTATTTTCTAAAATTCGTCTCCAGTTCCACAGCATTACTCTACTGATTCCATTAAGTTTTAATTGGAAAATAATTAGTTAAATTATTATTTTTTACCACAAAGCGGGTCTTGAAAACTGGAATCGGAGGGCAATGCGTGTTCGAGAGTACAGAGTATCGCAATAAATTAAATAAAATATTAAAAGTTCCATATAAGTTATTATTGTTCAACTATAAAAATTCAAAACCAGAACATAAATTACTATTTCAACAGTTCAACAAGACTGAACAAACAACCAGCCAAGTAATACTGGTTATTTTATGGTTATACTCATTACAAAATGTGGGCTTTAAAAATATTACTACTGAAGTGTAAATGCATCAATAATCACCCCCCCCCCCCCAAATAATCTAAACAGATTATTTTTTTTTGTGTGTACAATATTTATATTTTGGTTGTCAAACGAGAAGAGTAACACATTAATCATGCAAGTGTCACAAATCGTGTTCTAAATAACATAAAGCAGAAAAACATGTGCACTTCAGTGTAGTAGAAGCAATCACAACATGTGACATACAACTATAGATGTTTAAAGCATTACAAAAATACAACAAAGTTAAAAATCTGCACAGTAAATTGTATGGTCAGACTTATTACATACAGATTTAAACATATTTTGACTGCCAAACTTAAGTGAGACAGTATGAAAATCTGGATGACAGGAGTGACAATGACTTTTAGTTCTTGTTCTTTCAAAGCATACATAACAAACAATAACATTTTATGCTATCTCTTTGTCTCACTTGTACAAATTGTTCATGGTAAAAACCATGCCATTTTTAGCACACAGTGGGTAAAAAACCTTTTAAAACATTCTGCGATAATGTGATCATTAAACATTACATAAGCACACAGCGAAACTTCAAGTCAATTTCAAGCAATATTTTCTGATAAACAAAAACACCATTTTATATGCATCACAAAGAGCAGCAATATATTATTTTAAAAATCAATAAACCACATCAAATTGAGTTTATCTGTCAATTTATGCAAGATGAACTGAATAAATAATAACCTCAATGTACAAGTAATGATAATATAAACAAGAAACTTACCTTTGCCAGTGCAGCCTGAGTTTGTGATACACTTAGACCAGGGTGATTGCCTAAGCCACTGGCAGCATTTTGTTGTGAAATTGCATTTACTAAGTTTCCTGTCAGTGCAGCAGAATTGGTAGCAGTAGTCCAGGTCATTGTAGTATTAGGAGAAATTGAAAAAGGTCCATTCATCACAGGTTTATTGGTTTGTCCAGCAGCACCACTGCCCTGCAGCAGATGTGATGAACTTGATGTGTTCAAAGAGTTTGTCATTGCTATAGTACTTGTTATATTTGCTATACTTGTAATTGTATCATTGTTTATACTTATAGCAGTAGAATTGGGTGTCTGTCCTCCAACACTTGAATTTCCAACTGTATTTGGAGGAGACTGTAGACTGTTTGACATGGGACTTTGCACATTTCTGTTACCCATGTTTGGGCTAAGCTGAATTTGAGTTTGATTTTGCTGTTTTGGGCTTGCAATATTATTTGAGGCCGATTGAGCATTTGTAGAAGTCCTGGGCGGTGAGGATAAAAGCTGTGAAAGTTGTTGGTTCTTTTGAATTGTCTCAGACTGGCGATCAACAACTGTCACCGTGCCACTGGAGTTGGTAGCATTGCTACTTGTACCATTGCTCATGTTTTCCGAACCACCACCAACCATCAGCTCGTCGGGCAATTCGCCCTCCAAGTCTTGTAATAACGTCCCGAAGAACTCTGAAAATAATACATACAAACGTAAATTAATAATAATCGACAAAATATAATTTTTGATTAAAACCATGTTTTCAAGAGTTGTAAATTTATTTAATATTACTACATTGTAGAAATGTCCTTGGCAAGAAAAATACCGTAGACGCTATGTACGCATCTTTGTCGACGTGCGATGACCTAGTTCGACGCAGTTTATTATTTTATTTTACAATTTCGCCATTGCCATCAGCAAATTTAAGCACAATAATTTAACGGAAAATTAAATATAATAATTATTAAAATATACATACCCGAATTATCGTTGGGAGTAGTTGCAGGAGAGGAAAGCTTCTGCCGTTTATTCGGCGGCCCGTCGACTAACTGATCTGCCATGTTGAAGACACACACGCCCGGCAAGTACGTTGTGAACTTGTTGATTAGAAATTGCTACGAAGGTTCCCGAAAAATCCAATAAACCATCCTAAACATAATAAAAGTCCTGATAACAAAAATCAACTATCTGCAGGCAGCTACACCATCTTCTCAGCCTCTCGATCGGACGACTGTTCACCGCAATTGCTCGCACAATACAATATTACAATAACTAATAGACCTACACTGTCGACGAAATTACATGATATTTTGTCCCAAATTCGCCGAGTGACGCTTCAATCTTCATTCAGAATACAAATGGGTCCTTCTGTGGCAACTGTAGTCGATCTGATCGGAAAACAATGAAAGAAGATGAAGAGAAAAAACGATTTTTTTCTCAGTGAAAATGGCCAAAATGGCGGCTGTTTGGTGAAAAACTTTTTCTACGCTTGTCAGAAAACCAACAAGAAAAGCCACCGAAAAAAAACGAGACCGAAAATTAATTTATTCATACTTTTCCTCATTAACATACAGTCACGTGGTAGCCACGATGCCCATTCATTGGCTATTGTTCTATTTACTCGCGTGAAAACTACCTGTCATTACGTGTCGTCGCTGTTCGGAAAAATTCGGTCATACTCGGCTATAAATAAATGCAGGAATGCTGGGTAATATTTTTTAAATACCCAATAGCCCTAGCGGCGGACATGAATCAGCTGACCTCTCACGCTAATTTCTTGTTGGCGTCCATGATGAGAAATTCAGTTTTTCTCGAAATTGGTTATATATCAAATATTATTCCATGACTTACATTCTTGAATAGCTTTATTTAACCTTGCTCTTCCCTTTTAGGTATACTACGGTGTTTGTATTTTTGTTATACCGACTGTAATGGATTTTATTATTTTGGGGGTTTTCCTCTCAAAAATCAATATAAACACCTGAAAATGCACATTTTCCTAATAACTATAATTGTTACTATCAACAGCAAGTATAAGTCATCCCAGTAGCTCGCTATATTTTTCTGGCAACTCGGAATCGCGACTTCTTATTCAAGGTCATGAGTCAGTTCATAAGTAGGTCAAAACTATTCTTAGCATCGTTATGTAATGACACAATGTGCTGAGGGGACAAGTGCATTTTGCAGAGTTGCCTGTGGCGGTCACAAAATTAAGTCACATAGGTGACAAGCGTATGACAATCAGGATGACCGGAAAAAATATAATTACATGGTCAGACGGAATTACGAAGGTACATGGTGCAGATTAATTCCGAAAGTTGGCAGTTAGTTTTAATATCGGCATGTAATCTTTGATGGCGTTTACACTGCTTCGCATGTAATTTTAAACAACCTATTTTACGAGTACAGTTTTTTGTGATGATACTGTTGCCATGGTAAGAATTTGCAACTGTAAACAAGTTCTTTTGTTTGACTCCAGTGAATGGTAACATGGAAGAGGGAGGTTGTGGTCAACTTGTGGGGATGGCGAAGAGCGATGTCTTACTGCAATCGTGGTGCAATGTATTAGGCAATCATTTGTCTAACTTCATCGAGCTGATGATACCCAGTACTATAACTGCATGGCGTTCATCATTCTCTCTAAGCTGTGTACAGTCGTATTCGCTTTCGCTCCAACTTGGCTGATTGTTATACAAATCTATCATTGTTGTTCTCTAGGCCCTACTACACTAGCCTGGTGATCCTCACCAAAACAAATGTATTGATATGCTAGAACAAATGTACGCATCCGTTAGCAATTTCCCAACTAATACAAAACACTTTTTTTTGACGGTCACGATCATGGATGGTAGTTTTCTTGTCCTTTTTTCTAAGTTTCTTGTTACACATTTTTTTTAATTTTCTGAAATACACGGTTTGACTTTGTAGTTACGTAAATATTGTATAACTATTGGCATGCCACTTTGAGTCAACACGAGTAAGTGTTATAGTGATTTTTGATTTACGGGTAAGTAAAACGAAATTACATTATCGGATGTGACTGATAAGTTTTACCATGGAGGTAATAAGAACCATGGAACCTTAGCACCCCGTTGGGAGGCCAGTCACACTGATTCGCCCCGCCAAATGCCAAGGAAAACTGAAACACATATATACATATTTACATGAAATATTGTCCACCTATGCGAATCTGTTAGTGCAATGTTTTACGACCGTATGCCTTTACTGACGTCAGCCAAATTTTTTATGTGGGAAATTGGCACTCAAGGCTTACAGGTACTGCATCTTGCCCAAGGGTGACCTGGAGGTAGTTGTGGCGAAGGGTAATCCATTCTCCCAAGTCCAAAGACTCCACAACCGGATGTAGTTTAACATCTTACCATGTATATATTTGTCCTGAGCATGGACGTACTACGTCCATGTCCTGAATAAGTGTTATAGTAGAAACACGTGGAGTCGATGAATCTGGAAACAGGCAGATTAGGTCATATAAGGTCAAGTTTATTATTTGATCGGATTAAATAATTAATTACTAAATGTACGAAAGTGTGTTTGAAGTAAACAATACAAATAATGCTATATAGTTTGTATAAAGTATACACATAAACAAACTGGTCTATGGCTGCAATGATAAGAATACATGGTGTACGTACTACACCGTCGAATTTCCCGCGGTTTTGAGAAGGGCAATGGTATTTAGCCACGACTCGCCGTGCACTCTTGCCCGGATTCTCTCGCGTAATTCTATTTGACAATGACAGAGAAAACACACACTATAATATATATATATATATATATATATGTGATTCGCAGTTCCATATTGTGGTGAATAAAACGTAAGGTGTGTTTTGTGATGACAACCATTGAATACCAAACCAGCCTTGATTACACTAGCGCGTCATAGCAACGCGATGTCTATGATAGTGGCGGTGAATCATATACAGGAATCATGAAGTTCGTATCATCGTTAAGATAACTTTATATTCAGTACAATATATAGATATAACATGAATATTGATTAGCACTGACAGTTGACGTACACCAATATGCCCCAAGAAAGAACAGCCAATAAGATTCAGTGTAACAAATTGATTATTGTGCGGCCATAGGTCCACGTGACTTCCGAACAATTCCATGAAAATTTCGGAGCCATATCATGAATGGAAGACGCTTAAAAGAGTTTTAAAAATTATCAACAAGCGTTGTTATGATGACTAAATATGCATATTTGCGCGCATTTTAAATAATTAATATTTCACACTGCCAAGTATGAAATAGTTTTATAAAATCATTTGACTCTTGCCGAACATGAGAGATTTCATGATCATTTCAAAAAATAATGCAACTTCACTATTCATTTATTGATATGCAAATTAGTATGTTTTATAATTTTTAACTTCAAAATGGTCAACCAAATGAGTACTACACAGCAGATCTCATCTCATTTTTTTTCCAGAGATTGTACATGTAATACATATAAACATTCTAGAGATTTTACTTTCTGTACGAAAAACAATATTTTCTTGTGAGAAATGGAAAATAACAATTTAAAAGAATATCCAAAATCTGTTACATTTCTTTTTCTGTTATGTGACTAATACCACGTGACTAATGTAACATTAATTTTTTGATTATGAGCTTTCATGCAAGTAAAATATTATTAGTATATTTCATCCGCTCGGTTATAACATAGTGCCAGTGTTAAGGCTGTGGTTACACATACCAGGAAGGTGCGAGGCTATTGTAACATTGACATTTAGTTGGTCGCCAAGCCTATATACATTTTTATTGTTGTGTATGAATGAAGTCACCAATCGTCACAATTTACAGTGCTCATTCACCAATAATCACGAATTGATGCCATACACTAATCACCAAGAATTGACGCCATACACCAATCACCAAAAATTGATGTCATTCACCAATCACCAAAAATTGATGTCATTCACCAATCACCAGGAATTGATGTCACACACCAACCACCAAGAATTGATGTCATTCACCAATCACCAGGAATTGATGTCATACACCAATCACCAGGAATTGATGTCATACACCAACCACCAGGAATTGATGCCATACACCTACCACCAGGAAGTGATGTCATTCACCAATCACCAAGAACTGATGTCATACACCAATCACCAGGAAGTGATGTCATTCACCAATCACCAAGAACTGATGTCATACACCAATCACCAGGAAGTGATGTCATTCACCAACCACCAGGAATTGATGCCATACACCTATCACCAGGAAGTGATGTCATTCACCAATCACCAAGAACTGATGTCATACACCAATCGCCAGGAATTGATGTCATACACCAACCATCAGGAATTGACGTCATACACCGACCACGAGAAATTGATGTCATTTACCAATCACCAAGAATTGACGCCATACACTAATCACCAAGAATTGATGTCATTCACCAATCACCAGGAATAGATGTCATTCACCAATCACCAAGAATTGATGTCATTCACCAACCACCAGGAATTGATGTCATACACCAATCACCAGGAATTGATGCCATATACAAATCACCAAGAATTGATGTCATTCACCAATCACTAGGAAAATATGTCATTAACCAATCACCAAGAACTGATGTCATACACCAATCGCCAGGAATTGATGTCATACACCAACCATCAGGAATTGACGTCATACACCGACCACGAGAAATTGATGTCATTTACCAATCACCAAGAATTGACGCCATACACTAATCACCAAGAATTGATGTCATTCACCAATCACCAGGAATAGATGTCATTCACCAATCACCAAGAATTGATGTCATTCACCAACCACCAGGAATAGATGTCATTC